CCGTTTGGGGCGTTCAGCCGTCTCCACAGGCAGAGCCCGTCGTGAGGGGCGCGGGGGGCGGGGAAATGACCTAGAAAATGGGTCAAAAGCAGGACGAATCGTGCTGTTTGGCCGTTCTCTTGCCCTCCGTCTTCCTTGCTCACCTTTCACATCCCTCCTAAAGCTCTGTTAAGGCTCTGCGTTCCTGTCGTTCTCTTGCAGGGCCTTGCTGAGAGGCTCTGCCCTCCAAACAGCTCTGAGCCCTGCAGATGTCAGAAGAAAGTGCCCAGGTTCTTCAGGCGGGAAGAAGCTTTTGCGAGTGCAGATTAGCTCAGTTTGCTCCTTTCTCAAAGAGCTGTAGAGCTGGAAGGGGCCTCACAATGCTGCGTTGGCCATCCCGTGCTCATCGTCTTGTCCCAAGACAAGTTCAGCTTTGTTGCGTGGTCAGGGCAGCTCGTGGTGGTACCTAGTTCATACAGACATCCAAAGCAGAGCCTCCAAAGCCTCTTCAGGCAAACTATGCCTTTATTACCTTCTCATGATTTTCAAGATTCTGAGATTCCCCTGCCTAAATCTTCCTTGCTGTAATATAAGCTCATTGCTTCTTGCCTTACTCACCTTAGATGCGGAAGCAATTTATTTTTTCCTTACTGCAACAAGTTGTTAGGCGTTTGAAGACTGAGCAACTCGCTTCCTTGGTCTTTACTTGCTGAATCAAAACCACCCCTATTTAGCAGTCTTTCTTTGCAGGTCATGTTTTGGAGCCCTCTAATTGTCCATGTCTTCTGTTTTCTAGCCCCTTGCTAGTTGTTTCTCATCTTATTTGAAATACAGCACCCAAAACATAACACGGGGGTTGCTGTTGAGTTTTTCAGAGCACTTACTGGAGTTGTAGGCTGCTTCCTCTGTGTCTGAAGCATTTTTCATCGGAATATAATGTTTTGTTCTGTAACCTCCAGATACCCTTCAGGGAAGTTCTGTTTAATTAGGGGTTTTGCATTCTGCGTTCGTGCAGTGGATTAATGCTCTCTTTTGCCCCTGCTGAATCAATACTGATTTTTTCCAGACTGTGTTTGCATTTTGTTCATATTGTTCTGAATTCCAGACCTATCTTTCAGTGTCTTTGCTATCTCTTTCCCAGCTTGGAGTCACCTGCAAATGCGGTACGTGTACTCTGTACCATAACTCAGGTCATTAATGAAAATATTGAATATGATTTGTTCTTGGCAAGTCTAAAACCTTACAAATAGTTTGTTGATTTATTTCAATAGTTTAACTTCAGTTCCTCTTAAAGTGACTGCCCTGACTGCCCCAGTTCTTCCCTTCCCGCTCCGTCTTTAAAGAAGAGCATCAGACTGGCCCTTTCATAGTCTTCTAATCTCACATCCAACCTATACAGGTTCTCACAGTACATACTCTCACCTGATGGTTTTGTCAATTCTCTAAGCGTTTTCAGGCCAAATTCATCAGGCTTGAGTGCTGTGAAAACAAATAAAATACTTTCCAATCCTTTATTGCCTGAGACACAGATCTTTTGTTCTTTGTTTCTGTTGCTAATTTTGTTAGCTACTTGATCGCTATTAATTCTTTTAGTGAAGACTAAATGGTCTTCTGGATGGATGAATCACGTCATGCCCCCTCTGCTCTCTGGTGGATCAGCCTTGCCCTTGGTCTTCCTGTTTTGACTGCTGCGTTATATAAATGTGTCTCATTGCTTATTCCGTGCCTTGACTTTTCTCATTCTATCCTTTATACTATATGTCTGTATGCAGTCTGTCTGACTTGGCCTTGACTCTGCTTGTTTCTTTCAGCTTGCGCTGGTTTCTTATCAGTGTTAGCTAAAGGAATGGCTAGCTGCCATTAATTCATAGACCAAGCTGCTAGGAGACTTTACCCAATAATTTTCGGAGCTTACTGAGGTCTATTTGAAATCTGTAATTTTTATTTGGCGATTTCTCTCCCTTGCCCTAAGAAGAGGTACTGGGTGCCATAGCAGCTTTAAGTCACTTTCACTTAAAATTTTGCTCCAGGAGGAAATTCCTGGAGGTCAGAATCAACCCTTAGAAGAGCCTTCTTTCTGTTTGCTTCATCTCCTGCTCTAAAAAGATAACATATACACCACACACCTGCTTGGACAGTCTAGAACATGGTCCATCTACTCCCTTAACTGTATACAATGCAGGCGTCTAATCTGAACTCCTGGTGCCTATCTGTCTCTGCTGACCTGAGGAGTTTCGATACCCAGCTGAATCTTCTGAGAGCTAAAGCTGAATCTCCTGCTTGGTACCTCCAAGGTACTAACCTTGCTAGTGGAAGTCAGGCGAGATGAAATCTCTTGTCACCTCCCACTTTGTCATTCTGCTTATTCTCAAAAATCACTTGCCACCCAGTCTGCCTTCTCGTGCTCCCAGGTCACCTACCAGGATCCTCTTCCCCTTTCATTACCACTCAGGGACTTTCAGCAAGGGCCACCCTTTACCTAGTGTCTGTGTCTGAAATACAAGGTGTTGTATCCTCACCTCAGTCATCCGTGTACCTGTGCTTCCTGACCAAAGTACTCCTCTTCACAGTAATAGCCATTTCTATGATTTGTCTGTCCGAGGTCTGTAATCCGTCAGTTAAATTGTAGTGTCGTCTGTGCATTAAGAGTTCTAATGGCCACTTTCCTGGGTGAGCCATTTCATACGAGCCAAATCCTGCTTCCATTTTTCATTCTACAGAAGTTAAAAGTCTCTTAGCTGAGAGTGCTGGTGTAATATCTTATCACTCCAGTAGATAGCAGCATTACACACATTTGAGTGAGCGTCACTGTGATCTTAAATCACTGAAGGTGATCCACCAGAGTACGTGTTGTCTGCACGGTGGGCTCATTTCCCTCTCAGATCCTTGTGCCTTGAGGTTTGTACCCTCTTGTACTACTCCCAGGAGCAGAGCGAGCATCCAGCAGGTGACAGCTTCTCACATTGCTGGGCTCAGTGCCTTTCTCTACCCAAAACCAGACCATTCCCGTGTCCAGCAGAAAGGCAGCCACAGATACTAGCAGTGTGCTAATGGCACAAAAAGCTCTACACTGGTCACTTGCCACTTGAGGACGCTGCAGTGGGATCCGTGAGCAGCTGTTCACATTAGACATGTTATAGCCCCTTTGGAGCTGATGGAAGGAGAAACAGGCACTCACAGGCAGGGTTTGGGTCCCTTAACACTAACTAGATGCCTGCAAGAATTGTCTAGACCTGAATACATCGCAGTTCGCTCAGCTGGAGAAGAACCAGCACCCATCAAAACACCCATTTCTGACCCATTCAAATGCCTCATCAACCAGGGACATATGAGGAGGGAGAGGAGAAGCATCCGGGAAAAGAAAAGATGAAAAGTGGCAAAAAAGGACGAGAAAGGCAAGTAAAGAAATAGGATGTGAATCCTGGCTGTGCAACAGGTCATTTGTGAGGCAAATCAGCCTCTGTTGTGTGATAATGGCCTGAGGCCAAACTGGAAATGCTTACTGAGCGAGTCCTAGGAGAAGTGTGATGGAAGCACGGGGGACAAGGACTGCCTAGAGACCGTAAAACGAAAAGGCAGGTTTGATATAGGACAATGATTCAAAAGAACAGGCGAATTAGATGTGAGCTGTGGTATAAAGCTGTATTAGCAGAGCAGAGAAGCTGCCCATCAAGCGCCAGGCAGAGAACAAGAGATTAACAACATCTGACCCATGGAGCAAAAGATGTCAGAACAAGTGCCCGCAGCCAGGAGACAAAAGGGTTCAAAGAACAGCTACTAGGGCTAGGCGAGGACCAGAAACTGACTCCAGGCAAGAGGGTGATGTTATTAGAAATGCTGCCAGCAAACAACTGAGCAGTAGGGTGCAATGCCTGGCAGGGAACACTGGAGGGAGTGTAGGCAAAAGAGACAACAGCCAAAAAACCAGATATTTTTCCTTCTATCCACGACCACAACGTGTTTTTTTATTACTGTTACTATTTTTGTTGTTATTAATATTCATTAACCTGTGCTTTATGGGGTGTGAGACTGAAGTTCTGCTCTAAGCAGTTTGTTATCCAAACAGAGAAAGGAGATAGGTAGCAGATGAAAGAGCAGCAATGGTTTAGGGGGAAGGAGAGAAACAGAGGCAAGTCAAGGAGTTAGCAGCTTGCGTTTCGTGTGGAGGTATTTTAAAGAATAAAGGAGTGTTAAAGAATTGGACGCTACTGAGACATTAGGCTCAATAGTCACAGTTATGTTATTTCTGTTACAGCTGGTTTTTGGGTGGTCAGATTTCATGGCTGGGCCATACTGAACTTAAGTTGGAAGTTCTTACATAATCAGTTCAGTATTTGGCACTGAAGGACGAACGTGGTGATGGTGAACAGCCTCCGTGACCTGCTGGGAGCAAGTCTCAACAAACTAACTTAATTACTATTTCTGACCAAGAAGGTGGCCTTGGTGACCAAGGTAGTGAGGTTTTCCTCTAGCCAAGAGCCAGAGACACATGGCCCACACCTCAGAGAGACAAGGATAAGGAGAGCTTTAGAGTCACCCACAGATGCAAAAGGACTGGAGCTCTTCGGAGTTCCATGGCCCCAAGACAAGACAGGTCTGAACTGAAACCCCAGGAAGTATGATGGGGTCCCAAGGTGATGTGGAGGTGTCAGATCCTAGTGCTTACTTCCTTCCACAGCCAAGGATTTGGGCATCCCAGCAGCCTCCACTTGCTGCTGATAATGTGGCAAAGTTCCAGTATGGGATTTGCTCTTGTCCTTCCCTCAAGCTATTTGCAGCTCAAAAAGCCACAGCTTGAGCATTCTTACTGAAAAAAAAAGGAGAAGTGGTTTAAAAGATGACCTTCAACACCATCCCACATGCAGACCTATATTCCAAACAGTATCTCCGTAGCATGGGTGCACAATGTGTCTAGTCAGTAGTTTGTGAACAACCTGGTGCGGGACAGACCATCTGTTGATGCACCATGCATAGGAGAAGAGCAAGCAGTTTGGAAGGTTGGATCAAAATCAACTGATGACTTTCAAGTGGAGGAATACCCTGAAAAAGATGAGGTAACAAGCAGCAGGACAAGGCTGAAGCCCTAAGCGTGGGAAATTTCATACAAACAGGAACTGGGAATTACCAGAAAGAGCCAACACTGGGAGGAAACAAAAAAAGAGGAAGGAGCAGAAATAAAAGATAACTAAGGAAATGACAACCTATAGTAAAATACTGTTGTGCACTTCGGTTTACTTCTGGGCAACATCGCCTGTCTCAGAAGAGATAATTGCACCTTGACTTAGAGATGGAGAAGCCAGTAGCTGTAACACCATGTCTGTATCTGGCCACGACCCTTTAAGTAAATTTGGGAGAGATTGGAGATAGAGAGGATAGGAATTGGGACAATCAGATGATTAGAAAGGAGAGTCTGAGGAATAGCTTGAAGGAACTAGGCTTGTTTGGTTTAGAAATGAAAAGCAGGCAGAAACTCTGGTGCAGGCTACTGGGAATGAGGGTGAACAATTGCTCTCCTTGTCCACTGTGATCTGCACAAGCAGAAATCAACTTAACTTACCACATCAGAAAGTAACCGGGGTACCAGAAACCCTGGGACTGGCTAAGGGGTGGTGGGATTGCCTTTTTTGGAGGTTAAGAGCATGACAGTCCTATGTGTTGTGGATGGTCTGTTTGACCCTACTGCGGAACAGGAAGATGAGCTAGGTGGCTTCCCAGAGCTTCTCCAATTCATCCAGTTCTTCATGTCTGTCATTTTAATGAATTGTGTAATTCAGGAAGCCTCCTCAGAACCAGTCTTTCCTCAGGTCCTATGCAATATGTTAACCACAAAACCAATCCTATTCTATTTACTCTTCCGTAAGTGCCATTTACTCTTCTGCAAATTAAAGTGTCCCATTCAATCCTGTGAAACGCTCACTTGCTTTGCT